CAGGGGGTCAGGGAGGGGGGGGGTTCATGGATGGGAGGAGGGGGGGATGAATGGTTGACGATACACGGCGGTGACCGCACAGCAGTGGCGCAGGGAGTGACCGCAATGGCAACAAAGGAACGACGGCAGTGGTAACACAAAAGAAGAGCGATATCAATTGCAGCGAAGAGCGACATCGCCACCGCACGAGAGGGAGAGAGCACCTTGAGCGACGGCTGGCCGAACACAACAACGAAGTCTGGCTGGGCACAGAACGAAACGGGGGCGGGGGGGAGGGGGGGGGGGGACGGAAGCGTGACACGAAAAATGAGCTTGAACGCCAGCAGACGTACTCGCTAGATTCAGTTTGGTGTGAGAGGGGAGGAAATACACGCCGAACAGGGGGGGGGGATTCCACGATCGCCGGGTTCTGACTGGACGCGTATCTTTGGCCGACGCAGGCAGTTAAGCTCAGAGTCTCGTCCTTGTATCGACGAAATGTCTACCGAGACGAGAAAGTGTAGTCGGCTCGTCTTGTTATTGTCGGCCGAGTCTCGGCGGCCATGTTTCGCAGTTGGTCGTCCTGTGATGTGAGTTCACGGCGGCGCTGCGCACGGGCGCGCCAGAACAAAAAAAAAGAGCTATTTCCGTGTCCGTGCGCCGCATGGAACCGGACTCGTCTTCTCGACCGAATTGTTGGTCCGTGTGTGTGCATCCTTCATGTTCAAGTTTTTTGTTGTTTATCTTTTGTGTTGGGGCGCGTCCTTTTGCTGTTGTTGATCGAACGGATGGAACGCAGTTTTTCGCCGGTTACCGTAGGTTCAACGAAACGGGTCCATTGTGACCCTTGTGGTGCAAGGGGGACTCCATCCATCCTCTCTTCTACCCAAAAACACCGAAGCAGGGGGCTACCGTTACTCCGATAGTCCGGGGTTGGACTGCGACGGTTACTCCTTTCTTTCTTTTTGAGGGGGTCAAGTCCATGGGGTGTATCTCGTGTATGTAGGTAGGGCGTCGGTATTTTATTCTCTTGCCCACCATTCTATTGTTCTTCCTTTCGTGTGAGCGTGTGCGTAAAATGAGTATGCTGATGATCTGTTGGACGTGCGTGTCGTTGCGAGGTGTAGAGAGATTGGCCTGGGCCGCCCCTTGGTTGTTGTCATGGTGTTGCTTTGCACTCGGAAGAAGACCCGCTGGGTCTTTTTTCTGGGATGTGTTGTGTCGCTTGCACCACCTGGACGGCCACCGAGTGCACGGGTGTAAAAGCTTTACCAAGGCCATGACAAACACCACCACCACAAGTCAGTTAGTTTCATCATGGTGTGGTATCATGCGGGCAGGATTTGAGATGATTACGGAGGAAGGCTGCTACATATGTTTTCATGTGAATGTATACGACGTATTTTCGAGTCGGCAGAGCATGCGGCGGCGATTCTACGGCTCTTGATGGGTCGAGGACGCGTGTTGGTGGAGGAAGAGCCACATGCAACAAGATTAGACGACTCACCTGCTGCTGTCATCGCTGCGTAAACAAAAAAAAGGTAGCACGAAGACCGGCTGCCTCTTCTCAAGGCGAAGACGCGGCCGTTCACACACGTGTGCATAGCTGGACGCGTGTAATGACGGCTGAGCGCTCTCTCCTTTGTTGACGGCTGGACCGATTAACAGCTTTTCAGATGTCCTTGTTCTTCCCAGTGCATTTATATGGTCACGTCAACGACTCTTTTTGCTTGGCATCAAATAGTGAAGCGCATGAGTTCGGGGCTGGGGGGTTGATTTCGGTCATCTTCGTCTCAATCTCCAACGACCACGGTGATGTGCCAACCCTGGATACAGGCCAGGGGGATGGATGCATGCATTCGCTCGTGACTGTTCAACGACACCTGGCTGTCTCCCTTACTGAAGAAAACGACGAGATTGTATGTAGCAAGTACCCAGGCAACATGCGCCAGACAACAAGTCTGCGCTTTTCAATGCGCCATGCGTACATGGAACTAAAACCAACCGAAGACCGGGGTATCCAACAGCAATGGCACAAGGGACCAAGATGTTAATTCGGTACTTTTCAGGGTGAGTCGCGTCTTCCACCGCTTCGCTCATGCCAGAAAAGTACCACAAAAACAGCAACCCCCTCTGGCGGAGACAGCTGTACGATCCGACGCTCTATGACCCATCTTCCCATCTCATTCCATCACTCCCTGATGGTCCATGTCATCTACCGCAGTAGCTCTTAAGCAAGGCTGAGGGACGCAACCCCTCTCTACTTTTGGGCCCGTAACAACAAGGATGTCAAGGTGGTGCAGAAACATGGGCCATCGTGACCTCCTCACCAAGTCAATCGAAAAAACACGACCGAATCATTAAACCGCACCATATATCCCGTGCGCCCGCTACCCCTTTGTACCGTTAGTGTTTGCTCTGGCACGCCATGGCATACATGACGATCAATCCTGGCTGTGATTCGACGTCGCCCCTCCCCACCTTCCGCCGTCATCAACCCCCCCACCCCCCCACATTTTTTACAGGCAGATAACGTTGTCTACAAGAAAGAGGGAGCCGGGCGCAACAATATCTAGTTAAGTGAACATACATCGCGTCGAGGCGTGCACTAAACGACAAGAAAGGAGTGGAAAAGAGAAAATCTGACAAAAAAATGAACGAAGCCGATCCTTCCCTTCATTTTAGATTATAGAGACAGTCTGCCATGCACATAGAAGATTCAAGGATTAATCTACGTTCAGAAGGAAAAGGCGGAGAGGTCAAAGCTAGATACCTGCCTGCAGATACAGACAAGTGCGTGCCTGTCTGCGACCAAAATACGCCACAAAGTGAGAAAACCGTTCCAGCGACCTCCTTGAGGGAGGAACGACCGACCGACCGCCGCTCTCTCTCTGGCCAACGGGGCAACAATAATCTACATCGTTCACATCCTACGCTATTTTCATCACGGAGACGGAGGCAGAAACAACCAAAACCCAAAACACCAGGCAGTTAGTTGTCTGTTTAGTACTGCTGCGAGAGGTAGCCGTACCACCCAGCGAAGACAAAGGCGGCGATGGCGTGGGGCACAACGTCGGCGGGCGTCTCCGAGAACATCTGGGTGATGCACAGGGCGGAGATGGCGATGCAGGATCCCATCTCGTGCCAGATCTGCACGACAAGAATCGTCGCACAACAGACGGCGAGGCGGAAGCACGTTTTCATGCCCAGCAAGGCGCCAGGGGAGGGGGGGGGGGAGAGGGGGCTCAGTGGAGCAGCAGCGTACACCGAAATCGAAATACAGGAACAACAGACGGAATTCCTCGGCGTGTTTCGTTAAATTAGCAACGAAATATACCGCTTCCATGCGTACGTTGTTCCATCATCACAATTCGACGCGGGGTTGGGCCTAATCAATCTCAATTATGTTACAGCTATCGTTCGGTATTTCTGTGGGTGTGTGCCGACGGGGGGCACACAAGAGATCACTTGCCTTCACCAATTTACCGCGAGAGAATCTCAGCAACCCCATTGGCCCCGGAAAATATGAACGGAACCATAAGAGACTTGCTTGTTATGGTCGTCACGTGCGAAGTGTCGAATAAGACATTCAGGACGGGGGGGTGAAGATGGACTCCCGTACGATAACCCCCCCCCCCCCCCCCCCCCCCCCCCCCCCCCCCCCCC